CGTGGCACAAAAACTCCCCCTGCGCACCAGCCGCAGGCCCTCCTGCCGGCCCACCCCCTCCCACCGAGGTTCCTGCTGGCCCCTCAGTTCTGGGGGCTCTTCTGCTGCCCCCCAAGGGGAAAATTACACTGAAATGGGAAATTAAGACAATTAAAAAGTGCATTTAAAAAGTCATGGACACAACCAATGAATCAATTTTCTCAAGTGTCCCTTGTCCCCCGTTAAGTAGAACATTGAAGAAGCCAATCTTTAAAAAGACCATTCTTGCCTTGGCTGGTGTGGCTCAGAGGACTGAGTTCCGGCCCGCGTGCCCAGGTTGCAGCCCCAGTAGGGGCGTGTGGGGGCAGCTGCATGTGGGTGTCTCTCCCTCTCTCCTTCCCTCCCCCTTTCTCTAAAAATAAGTAAATAAAATCTTTTTTCAAAAGCCAATCACTTAAAAAAAAAGAAAATAAAAACACCACTGGCTAATACCATTAGCCAACCTGGAGCAGAACATAATAATAATGCAAGCAATTCAAAACAAGGGGGAGGAGAAAGCTGGGTGACTCGGTTTCCTTAGGAGGAGCTTTTTTTTAAAAAACATGGGGAGAATCCCATCGTTTTCATGACCCTCTGCCCGAACAGCAGCCTTCGCTTCATGCACGCGTGCAGACCGGGAACACCGCAGTGTATCACAGAAACGCTTGCGACTCGGACAATTGCTAACCCTCAGCTACTTCTGTCTCCGTGCCGGGCCGCAGCTCTCACCACGCTCGGCCTGACGCTCAGCTCACAGGGGACACGCCACCTGCCCCAGACTGTGACTTTCATGCACACAAAGCACACGCCATTGAAACAGTCTCCTGGGGACCGTGCATGGACAGAATTGCTCCCGTTTGCGACCTCGGGTTTATTGGATGCATCTCTGTCGTTCTGAGGAGCCCACGGGCTCCATCGAGCTGCAGACGGGTCCCGGGCAGGAGCAGCGTGGAGTCGTGTGTGTCCCTCTCCCCCTCGGACGCGGTCACACAGCAGAGGGCCGAGAACCGGGACCAGGCATTTGTTCACAGTAAGAGAGATTGTGACGAAACACACTTAGCGAAGGGTGCCATCCTGTTTTCCTGCAGTTCACGACGGTTCAGTGGCGTCATCACGCACACCCACCTAGTGCAAGCAGCTCCTGATGGGCTCCTTGCAGGGAGTGGCTGGGGCTCAGAGAGGGAAAACTCCGTTTACTCGTCAGTTACACCTTGGTAAGGCCGATGTTTGGTTTGAAAAAGGAATGCTTTGATGAAGTGCAGATATTTTAAACACTAAGGGTTTCAGGAGGATGGCCACACAGTAGCAGTAAGGCTTCTCCAGCCGCGCACACCGGCCAGAAGCAGCCTGCAGGGTGGGCGTGGAGGACAGGCGGCAACCTCTGACCCCGCACCCGACGCGCAGGGGCCAGCGGGCTGTCCCTCGCCGGCTCTGGGCACGTGTGCCTCCTGCCCCGTCTCCAGGGCTCTGTTCCGGGGGCACGAGGGCGCACCTGCGGGTGGACGGGGCTCGGCATTGGCCTCTGTGCCAGCTGGGCCTGTCTGCCCTCCCTGAGTCTGTTTTCTCGTGTTCGGAGCCAAGGTCATGGTGAAGGTTGAATGGTACAAACCCTTCACAGAGGCGGCGATCACTGGGCACTTGGTGTCACTCCCCCTCCCCCAAAATCCAGGTCATTTGTTACTGTTCAGGATGCGGCCGCTTCCATCTACTTTATGTGAAAGGGAATTTTATTACAGCATAAATCATGGAGCAAACTGACAATGCTTCCTTCGCGCCGGGAGATGAGTCATTAGGAAATGTAATTGCTTTTGGGGTGCACACCATTGCGCTCCGTCCCCGCCGTGGGTTCCTCTTCGAACCCTTCTTAAAGCTGAAGCGGGTGCTGAGGCATTCGCGGCTGGGCAGACTTTCATTTATTTTTATTATACATGGGCTGTAAACACAGCACGAAGCCCATTCTACCCCCTCCACCAGCCACAGCCATCCTCGCTCTGAGATGCATTTATATATATAATATAATATATATATAATTTACTTATTTATTTTTAGAGAGAGGGGAAGAGAGGGAGAGAAACACCAATGTGTGATTGTCTCTCACACGCCCCCAACTGGGGACCGGGCTCACAACCCAGGCCTGTGCTCTGACTGGGAATTGAACCAGCAACCCTCTGGTTCGCAGGCTGGTGCTCAGTCCACTGAGCCACACCAGCCAGGGCTGAGATGCATTTCCAGCCCAGACAGAGATAGGGTCCATTCCTTCACGTAAGAAGCACCACCGCGCCGGGCTGTGGGGATTCCGCGGGGGTCTCCGTGGGCCGGCTGGTGGGAGACGGAAGGACAGGTGCCCGAGCGCCGGCACAGCTCAGAAAAAGACAGGGAGGCTGAGGACGCAAGGGGGTCCAGGGGGCTCCGCAGGGCAGGACGGGCGCCTCCCCCCGGAGGAGACCCCACGGCCGGAAGCAAGCGGCTCTCTGGGTCTCACTCTCGCACCGCACGGATGGGAGCGGAGAGACCGCGGGAAGGCGGCCAGGAGGGTGGAGTTAGAGCGGGTTGGACAGAAAGGAAAGGAGAGCCGAGGGAGGGGGTCCTACGTCCGATCACGGCGGAGGGAACGGCCGCCGGGACCTGGGGACAGACACCGCGCGGAGAGGGTGGGGGCTGGGCGCTCTCAAAGGGAACGATTCCCCGCCCCACGGGAGGCAACGGCAGGATTCATCCGGGACCAAACTGCCCTTTCCTCGGGAGATCGGGTTTTCTCCCTGCTAAACCTTTTTTCCCTCGTGTTTGATCCTCAAAAACATCTACCAACACCAAAACGTTATGTGCCAGTTTTTTATCATTGTCGATGTCCAAATACATCAACGTCCATGAAGGACTGGACACTTTAACTGAGCTCCTTGGACCGGCCCAGCGCATACTCAGTGAAAATAGAAAAGCCGTTCCTGTTCACACCGGTCCTGGCCGGTTCCGGACCTGCCGGCCGGGAAAAGGGCCCGACTGGGTTCTTGTCACCTTTCCCTGATGCCCTGCAGACGGGGTGGGGGCGCCGCCCTCTGAACAGCAAGCCCCTCTCCCCTCCGGCTTTTCAATCGTGGCCACGGTCTCACTGCGCTGTGCGTGGGGTTCCAGTGACCGCCTGTAATTCACAGCCCTCCCGTCCTCAGCGCCTCGAGGGTGATGTCTCGTCCCGATCGACAGAGACGCCACTGCACAGAGCCTTCAGGGACTGGCCGTCCCTCGTCCTCAGGTCCTTGGAGATGTTTTTCCCTGTGGCTGGGGGAGTGGAGCAGGGTCTGCAGGCTTGCTTCTCCGGGCCCAGCCGGAGGGCGGCTTGCATCCCTTCTGCTCACATCCCATTGGCTACACGTAGTCATGTGGCCACGCCTACTTGAAGTGTGGTTGGCAAACAGCCTGCAGTAGTCCCGCCCCCAGCCCGCAACTGCAGGGGACACGTTCCTCCCAGAGCCCCAGCGGTGCCTGAAAGCTAACCCTCCGTGCACTGTGTTATGGTGCACTGTGTTATCGTCTGCATCCACACCTGTGATAACGTTGAACTTACGTGTCAGGCACAGACGAGAGCAGTGATGACTCAGAATAAAACGGAACCATTTGAACAACGTACCGCAGTAAACTCTGCGAATGCGGCCTTACGAAGGAGACCACGGGCTGCCCGCACGCGTGTACTGAGACCACGTGTGCTCGCTCTCCCGCTGGCCAGGGCAGACCGGTGGGCAGCCTGCAGCCTGGACACCCGGCCGGGGGACGCTTCCCGTCCTGAGTGGGACGGCCAGATCTCATCACGCCCCGCAGAACAGCTCGCAACTCGAACTCTAGGAATTATTTATTTCTGGAATTTTCCATTTGATATTTTCGGATGGGGGCTGCCTGTGGATAACTGGAACCGTGGGGGGGACCTGTTGGAGAAGGACTAGTGTCGTGGCCACTCTGGTTTCCCCGATGAACGGGGCCGAAGACTCAGAGATGGATCACCCTGGATGCCCCACCGCTTCTCCCGAGCGAGCCTCACCCGCAGGCCCAGGCGCTGGCGGCCACGGGGCGGCGGGCGTGTGGAAGTCCCAGCCCCCCGACCTGGGAGTGCGGCCCCGGGTGGAAACAGGGTCTCCACGGACGATGCAGCGCCGGCGAGGCCGTCTCAGCGCGGGGCCCTCGTCCAGCAGTGCTGTCCTCACAGAGCGAAGACGGCTGCGGGACGCCTCCGTTCCCTACGGACTTCTGGCCTCCGTGTCGGTGACAGAGCACATCGCTGTGTCAGGACAGGCCTGGGCTCCAGGACACCGCTGTGCTGTTAGCTGTGATGTAGGATCGCATCAACTCTTTCCTTAAGCGCAAATCGCGTGCCCGCAGGCTGGAGCGAGCGGGCAGAGAGACAGGAGAGGCCGCCCCAGTGCTGGGGGCGGGGCCAGCCTCTGGCGGCCCCTGTACCCTCGCGATGCTGCGCACACACTCTGGTCCCTAGGGCTGGCCTGGCCTTGGACCTTGAGTTACTTCCCAGGGAGGTTTTCCTGAACCCCGTTCCCTCACTGCTTCCACGCGGGGTGGGTCCCCATCAGCGGGGCCCCGACCCAGCTTTCTCCCTGCCAGCACGTGTCCCTGGGGCGCATGATGGGTCGTGGGAGTCACAGGTGCTGCGGTGGCTAGCCCCTAAGGGACGGCACCGCAAACCTGGAAAGTGCTCAGGCCCAAACTGTGTCGTGGGACTGGGGCGAGGGCCAGGAACGGGAGCCCCCCACCCGACCCTTCGGGCACCACTGACTCCCAGTGGCCAGTGATGGCGGAGACGCCAGTGTTCCAAGAGCAATGAAATCACTGCCAACAAAACGGACACCTAGAAACCCACTTGTCACACTGACTGTCCTGGGGAGGGGGCGGGGGCATTGTTCCACGCACAGGCGCTAAGACGAGGTTTCACTGTTTTATTCAAAGTCTGGTGGGTGTGAGGAAAAAAACACACACACGCACACTTAACAGGTCAAAATATCCAAATAAAGTTTACTGCAACTTTTGTAGAATTTAGTTTGTGCTACAAGACATGTTGCATAGGAAACTATTTGAAGCCCCTGAGGAAAAATATCCATGGTTTAAGGTGCAACTGGTTCCGTGTCTTCTTTGGGGAGAAAGGGGGGGGGTCTCTGGAGAGAAGGAGGGCGGGTCGTCGGAAAGCGGGATTTCAGGTCATCACATGGGATGACTGGGGAATTGTGTATCTTGGTTCTTGCAGCATAAAATACATAGTGGTTTTTTTTGTGTGTGTGTCGTTTTTCCTAGCCCGCTGATCTTCAGGATCCAAATCAGTAGAAGCCTAAGAGTGTTTCAGCCCAACAAGGGATTCTTCATGGATTACACCCAGTAGTTCTCGTGATTCAAAGCCGCCGATTCAGAGAGTGAGGTTCCGGATCTGGGCGTGTCCAGGCACGTCCCCGGGGACTGACTCTGGGGGTTTGCTGGGTACTGGCGGTGTTTCTCCCGTCTCCCTCCGAGACGCCAGGACTACGGCGGCAGCGTGAAGCTCAGCACAGACACTCCACCCGCAGCGGTAACGGTTGTCGGTGGGACGTGCCGCCAGGTCCCCCATTTGACGTGGGAAGCCTTCCCATTGTCCATCCTGCTCAGACAGACAATCTCTATGTTGTCAATGAAACGGCTTCCCCACACCATTCATTTCCCAGGAGATGTGGGAACGCCAGGAGGGGAGAGGGGTTCCATCTCGACAAAAGGAAGCCGAGAGAGTTTGGCAGACGGCAGCAGGCACCTGGCACAGGGTGTCCTGGGCGGCCGAGGCTCCTTCAGGACGCCGGGGTGGCGGGGGGAAGGGGCCGTTTTGTGGGGACCGCCTCACTCGCGCCTGGGACTGCTCCCTGGGACGAGCAGGGGCCCTGAGACGCCCGGCCCCGCTGCTCCCTGGGCTCCAGGACGCCGACGCCTCACGTCGGACTGAACTCTGCCCACAAGACGGTCCACGAGCGCCGTGGCCCCTCCTTCACTGCACCACGAGGTGAAGGCGTGGAAGATAAGAAAAAAAGAGGGCCCAGAACGTTCTCGGAAAGCACAGGGTTGAACTACACTCACGGAAGGACTAACCACGGTTCCTCCCCGATTCACGGTTTTGTTTTGTTTTTTTACAAGTACAAAGTGAAAAAAGGCCCAACACGCGAACAAAAGTGGCTCCCGTGCCAGGCGTGGAAACGCGAGCGTGTCTGAGCGTAGGAAATGCCCCCGAGGACGTTTAAATACCGATGTACACCTGTAACATAATTTAAAAAGGTCTTCAGAGAACGTAAAAACCTCCAGAGCGTCTGCCCCGTGACATGTTTGTTTTGAACCTCTGTGGTCCATTAAAAAACTACTATCACCTTTCTCATACGTCCCCTCCTCCCCACACTTTAAAAGGGGGTTTTAAATGTACGTTTATACTGAACACAGAGAAAGCTATCTGATTGGCAACGACCTGCCGTGGGCGTTCCCCTTGGGCCTCCCCCGTGATGGAGGCGGCGGGTGGAGCGTCTGTCTGTCCGTGTGCTTGGTCCTGGGGCGCGGGGCCGGCCCGGAGCCGCCCTCCTCTGGCGGGGCAGTCGGTCGCCCGCTCCCAGCAACGTGACTGCACAGGCCCCCTCGGCAGCGGCAGCAGCGGCGGCAGCGCCCTGGTGGGGGCGGGGCATCCGCTCAGATCACGAAGTCGTCCTGGTCGGCCGGGCTGAAGGCGGCCGCGCGCAGCACGTCCAGGGAGTTCACCAGGATGAGCGTCCCCGTGAGGTGCTTCCAGCGCTTGGTGACGGGGTTCCTCATGCGGTCCAGGCCCGTGTGCAGCTCCTGGATGACGTCACGGTAGCTGTCCCCGACCTGGTGGCTCCAGGTGAGCAGAAAGTCGTATGCAGGTTTCCACATGGCCTGCAGGGGGCGCCGTCCACACAAAAGGAGGGAGAAGAGACACAGGTGAGGAACTGGAGGACAGTCTGCCCGGCCCCGCCCCCCAGCCCCCTGTCGCAGCTCCTCCGTGAGCTCTTAACGCTACTCTAGCCGCTGGGCTGTCTCTGTCCCAGGCCAGCACACCGCGGAGGGAACAGTGCCTTTTGCATGGGAGTGGGGACACAGCACTTCCTATCGGGGCCGTTTCTTTAGAAATGCGCCCTGCCAACAAAGGACACCCTTGTGCTCGGAACTTCCCGCCTCCTAGGCCTCCAGACGCGTGAAGTGGCCCCTGCAGGGAACTGAGAAAACAGCAGCTGAGCGGGGACCTGGCCAGCTCCGGCCCACGCACCACCACCTGCCAGGTGCCCGTGAGGCAGGGACCCGGGGAGAGACCCGGGTCGCACTGCAGAGCGCCGGGGAGGGAACCCGCGCCGTTGCTCTGACGGAAGGTCATTCAAGGTGGGGATTAGCCAGCGACGGGCAGTTCCGCCAGTGCTGTTCCAGCGTCCCACGCCACGGCAGTGGCCTTGCCCAGGTCACAGCGGGAGTCACCACTAAACGCCCGAAGGAGAGTGAGACCTGCCCCACTCAGGGAGGACCTACTGTGTGCTAAGCAGGTGCTTTGCTTGCACGCTCTCATTTTGCCCTCCTAAAAACGCTAGGAAGCAGACAAGGCTATATGCCTGCATGCCGCAGATCGAGGGGCGCCCCACCCGCCTCACCTCGCTGTCCACGACCCCGTTCCGGTCCCGGTGGGGAGACTCGTACGCGTCCATCTGCTGCTTGGACACCTTGGCCAGCTTCTCTGCCAGCTCCCTCCAGCGCTGTGCCACCTCGACGGCCGTGGTCAGGAGCACGAAGTCCTGGATGAGCCTGACCACCAGGCCCTGGCAGTCCATCTTCAGCAAGGCCTGGGCAGGGGGAGCAGAGCGTGAGTGGGGGCAGCTCCGGCGGCCTGTGCCGCGTGACGCATGGCGGACGAGAGATCGCCGACGTGTGGGGCGGACGTCCCCTGCGCCTCCGCCCGTGCCTGTGATTGGAAGGCAGTAAGGCCTCTGCAGGTGCACTGGGGTGAAGCGAGGTCACCCTGGATCGGGGTGGGCCCCCAATCCAATGACCAGGGCCTTACGAGGTGAGAAACAGAGGCACAGGGGCAGAGGGAAGAGGGAAGCAGGAAGCGCAGAGACGGCGGCAGAGACGGGGCGATGCAGCCACGTCACCGGAGCCCCGGAGCCAGGACAGAGGTACAGACGGAGCCGCCCTCGCAGCCGCCAGGAGGAACCAGCCCTGCCGACAATGCCAGGAATGCAAGAGAATACACTGGTGGTTTCTTTTTTTAATCCCCACCCGAGCACGTTTTCTCACTGCCTTCAGAGAGAGAAACATCGATGCGAGAGAGGAGAGAAGCGTGAATTGGCTGCCTCCCATATGGGCCTGATGGAGAATTGAACCCACGACCTTCTGGTTTTGGGGCGATGCTCTGACCCACCCCGAGCTGCCCAGCCAGGGCCACGCCGGCAGGTTTGAGCCCCTGGTGTGTGGCACGTTGCTGTGGCAGCACCGGGACAGCGGCCCCCCAGGGAGGGTGCAGATGACAGCTGCTCCCACTCCCGCTGGAGCAACTGAGAGCGGGGGTGCCCTCGGCCGAGACCGACAGTGTGGCCTGGGGCTCCAGGGGGACGGGCCGGAGGCCCCGGCCGGAGGGAGGGCTCTGTAGGCAGCAGAGGTGTGGGGCTGGGGACTCGCACTGTCCAGACTCAGCAGGACCGGTCCTTGTCCAAGCCGAAGGGGCTTTCTGTGGGTCTTTAGGACAGAGGTGACTGATAGGAGGAGACTCGGGAGGGAAAGGCACACCCAGCACCCCAGCAAGGAGGCGACCGGACAGAGCCCCACCCAAGTCCCTGCCGTGGTCTGGGCCTTGGTTCCCTCCTAGAAAGGGCCTGGCCCGGGCAGGCCCCCAACCCAGGGTTCAGCGGCCTGATGGGCTCCGTGCGGCCCCAGCATTTCTGGCTTCAAGAAAACGAAACCAAAGCAGCAGGCTGCCTGGCCTGCGCCTGGCGGGACACACGAGGTTGGACCCACTCTGAATGCGGTGGGCAGAGGGACCTGCTTCCTTCCCATCGCCCTGCAAGCCTGCGGTCCAAAACCTTCGCCCCGTCTGCTCCGTGTCAGCAGGATCTCCAAACCCAGGGCTCGTTAGTGAACAGAAAACCTTGGGCAGGGAGAGAGGGCGGGGAGGGCGTGGCCGGGCAGGGAGAAAGGGCGGGGAGGGCGTGGCCCGGCAGGGAGAAAGGGCGGGGAGGGCGTGGCCTGGCAGGGAGAAAGGGGGGGAGGGCGTGGCCTGACAGGGAGAGAGGGCGGGCCAGATCTCAGGAGGTGGCGCCGCAGGAACCTGACTGCTCCGGGTTTCTACCTCCCTGTACATAAAACACCTGGCTCCCGGCAGCTCCTCCAACACGCCGGGATAAGCCCGTCTGTGGTTTCTGGAAGTCTGGCCAACCACTCAGAGGAGACGTGGCGAAGCCAGTTTCACTTCAGCACCGCTCCAACCTCCCCGGGGCACCTTCCTGCCAAGGCCTGAGTTTCACTTCCGCCTCCCTGGGACTCCGGAGCCCCGGGGGTGCGGGGCTGGGGGAGGGGCGGGGGTCCCACACGCACGGAACCCCATCCTCACACAGACGAACCTAAGGAGGCCTGCCAGAAAAGCTATCCTGCGTCCCCCAAGTTGCTGGATAAGCCCTGGGTTCCCCACGTTGGAAAAAAAAAGGAATGATCACTTCTTAAGTTTTCTAAAAAGAAACAGGGAAATGAGATAAAAGCCAGCTCCTCAGATTTCTGCACAGCGGGGAGGGGGCTGCCCCGGCTGGCTCACTGTTCGCCTCTGCCCACTCACGGGGAGGCAAACTCACTTTGCGCTGGTGTGGAGGCAAAATCAGTCCCGTTTCTGCTCGCACGGCATTCCGTCACCGGCGGAGAATTCCAGCCCGGAGCTGGCGCGAGGGAGGCCCAGCCCCTCGCCGTGTGAGGTCCGCCCAAGGGGACCGGCAGCGTGGGTGGGACCTGATTTTACAGGTGGGCTGGTGAGCTGTGCCCTGAGGGGACAGGAGGCATCACCGAGGGGACCACACCTGGTACCCAGGGGAGCTCCACTCACCTCCAGCCATGACAATCCCCTGTGCTCCCCACTGAACCTGCCCACACCCCAGTGACCCCCTGGTGGCCAAGGCCACCCCTCCACCCGCCACGCCCAGTTCCTGGCTCCCTCCTCTGGGTGAGGCCAGCTTCCTGCTGTGCTCTACGTGTCCGGTGCTCATGCCTTTGTGTGCCACCGTCGGGGCCTTGCTTCAGGCCCCACCCCCTGCAGCAGAAGCCATGCCACAGCCGACCCCGTCCCTTCCGTCCCTGACTCGAGGGGGCGGTGGAGAGACAGAAGTGACGTGAATGAGCCTCGGGTGCACACCTGTGCTCACACAGGTCCCCCGGACACACAGGGACACACCTGTTCCGAGAGGTGCAGACACAGTGGCAGGTGCTGGCGGGGTGGGGGGGGGGAGGAGCGGAGGGGGTGCAAATGGCAGGAATGAATGCCAGGGGTGCTGAGAGTCACCCCTCGCCCAGGTCAGGAGGTGAGAGAGGCTGTCTGGCGTCGGCAGAACGCGGAAGGGAGGCGGGTGACCAAGTCACAAAGGCCTTCCCCCAGGAACCGCCCAGGAGGACGGGGCAGGGAGCTGAGCCGGCCTCTGCTGCAGAGCGCAGGCCAAGGCAAGACCACCCCTGGGGCTTAGCCAGCAGCTCAGAGCGGGGCTGCCCCGCGGGCTTGGCGCTGGGGCGGAGCCCAGGCCTGCCGGAGCCGTGAACGGTCCGGTGAAGGCCTCCCGGCGGGCCGGTGGGCCAGGTGTACCCTGAAGTAGTGTGCCACCAACTCCCCCCTTTTCACTTCCTTGGACCCCAGTTCCCGGCTGCGCTGGCAAAACAGGGTGTGCTCACCCTGACTCGAAGGCACGTGGAAAGGAGGAAGAGGAAACAACACAGGGGCCCGGTGGAACCTTCCAGCGAGACGTGGAGAGAAACACCCGCTAAAATAGAGCCAGACGAGGGGGCCGTGGTTCCTCACGTTTGTGAGTCTCAGAGGTGGCTGGGGAGCAGGTGAAACACAGGGTTTCTCCCGAGAGATCTGAAGGGAGGTGGCTGGAGCACAGGCCCCTGGGGTCCCAGAGACGCATTCCGAGACCTTGGAGGGGCCCCCAATTCTGCGGGAAAAGGGCCCCGAGTGATCTTCGCTGCAGTGGCTGCTGAGCTGTTTGGGGCCCCCCAGGTCCCACGTGAGTGCCTCTTCCCATGCTTCAGTCAAACCCTGTCCCTGCCTCTCGGGGAGCAGGGAGGGTGCCAGCCCGCCCTCCCCCCCGCGCCAGCCCCAGCCCCAGCCCCAGCCCCGGGGGGACTCACCATCATGAGCTCCTTCTGGAAGGATTTCCGGTCCTTGTTCTCGGCGTTGTTGCAGTCCTCCTTCAGCTTCTCCAGCACGGACGCCACCCGCTCGGGCTCGCTGTCCAGCTCCGCGCGGCAGAAGAAGGTGAGCGGCAGGCTCCCGTAGCCCAGGGCGTCAGCGAAGGCACGCCAGCTGCTGATGTTCTCCATGAGCAGCGTCCGGACGGAGGCGTAGATGTAGGTGAGGAACTTGCAGGGCCGCAGGATCTGCTCCAGCAGCACCGAGGTGCTCAGCTCGGGCCCCGGCAGGAGGCTGGGCCGCGCCCGGCCCACCACCAGCACGTTCTTGGCGTGCACGAGGCCCACCTTGCCCTGGTGGTAGCCGATGTACCACTCCTTGGTCCACAGCTGCCCCTTCAGCCGGATCTTCTCCTCGCTGAGCAGGGCAATGGCGTCCCCCTTCTTGTACTCCAGCAGGTAGTGGTTCTTGCTCTGCCGCACCACGGTCTTGAGCAACTTGCCGAACTTGAGGCTGGACACGGGGCGGTCCTGGAAGGTGGGGTACTTGGTGGTGGCGGCAAACGGGGACAGGATGATTTTGCCGACCTCGTTCTTCTTGAGGAACCGCCTCTGCCCGGACGGCTTGATGGCACTTTTGGGGGGCGGCTGGGGGGTCTGGACGCAGAACTGGGTCAGGATGGCCTGCTGGCCGTCCTTCACCTGCACCCTCAGGGTGAAGTCCGAGAGCTCGCCGGGGCTCTGGCAGGTGATGGGGAAGATGAGGCGGCTCACCTTGCCCAGCTTCATCTGGAAGCCCCTCACGACCTTGGCCTGCTCGCTGGCCTTGACCTCGTAGTGCGTCATGTTGGAGAACACGCAGACCTGGAGGTCCTGCGGCCGGGACAGGATGAACTGGTGCCTGCCCCAGAGCTGCAGGGCCACCGGGGCGGGGCTGGGGGCCTGGCGGGGGACCTCGCTGACCAGGAGGGTCTTCGGGGCGCAGTCGTGCCCGAAGATGGTCACCACCGTCTTGAAGGACGGGTGGACGTGTTTGGGGCCGTAGAGCCCCACAGTGACCTTCTTGTTGATGAAGTCCCACACGGTGGAAGGGTAGAGGATGTTGGGGCCGTGGGCGACGATGGCCAGGTACATGCAGGGCTCCAGGTTGTCCAGGTGCACCTGCACCGTGTCGCCGTAGCTGTAGGTGAGGGGGACGGGGACATAGGGCCCCTCCTTCAGGTCGCTCCGCAGGCACTGCAGGCCCACCGTGCTTTTGCTGAGCACGTCGCTCTTCACCTCGGCCGACGCCGTCATCTCCAGGACCAGGGCGGTCCTCACCTCCAAGGTGCTCAGCTTCACCTCCAGCACCGGGCTGACGCTGCAGCACCTGTCGCTGTTGAGTTCCAAGGGCGGGTCCAGGAGGGCCCTCATGGAGATCTGCTGGGTGTCCCCCGGGGCCACGTGGCCCTCGGGCACGTGGAGGCTGATGCCGGTGTCGGGGAGCTGCACGGAGCCCCCCGAACTGTCCAGCTTGCACACGATGTTCGTCTCCACCGCCTGGGTCTGGCCCCACCCGGGGCTTTGGCCCAGCAAGTCCAAGTCGTGGCAAGACCGAGCCAGCTTCCGGTGGCTCAGCCAGGCCGCCCGGAAGTCCTCCCGGCTCTGGAACTGCTCGGGGACCGGGGACTTCAGGCCCGTGAAGAACCCCGAGGAGGCGGGCGCGTCGGACTTGGCTTGGAGGACGGAGAGCTCCGACAGGCTGTAGGAGCGCTTGCTTCTGAAGAACGGGTTGTCCCGCCTGGCGGGCCCCTCGGCGAGCAGCTGATCGGCGGCCGGCGGCCTGTCCAAGCCGGGGCCGGGGCCGTTGGCGGTGGCCGAGCCGCCGTCGGTGAAGGCGGACGGGCCCGTGTCGAAGAGCAGCAAGTCCACGGTACTCTTGGGGGCCAGCTCCTCCACGCTGGGCCCCACCGGCAGGTGCCCGTTCAGGAACGGGTTGGTCTGGGCCCCGTTCCAGAAAGGGTTGTTGCTGTGGGTCCTGCCGGACCCCTTCTGGTCGTCCGTCCACCCCCCGGGCGCCTCGAACTCCCTGGCCGCCTCGCTGGGGCTGTCGGGGAGCAGGTCGATCACCCCGCTGTCGCTCAGGGTGGAGTCCCGGCAGCTCAGGGGCCGCACGTGCGAGGAGGGTATGTAGCCCATCTCCGTGGTGTTGTGGGCATACCACCACTCGCCGCCGCACGTGTCCAGCACGTACAGGCGGTCGCCCTTGGAGAACTTCAGGGTGGTGAAGTTGCTGGGCCGGTAGTCCTTGATGGCGACCACTTCCTTGGCGTTCCCGAAGGGCGTGGGGTTGTCTCCCAGCAAGGCACTGGGGGAAGGCACTGCAGGAGACACGGGACAGAGGGTGAGGGCCGGGCCCGGGGGCTGCCCGCACCGGGGAGAGACTAGGGGCCCGAGAAACACCCAGCCACCCGTCCCGGCGTCAGACATCTGGTGTCCAGGGGCCACACACACCACCACCCACGGAAGTGCAAATCCACACCAGGAACAGCCACCCGTCCCGGCGTCAGACATCTGGTGTCCAGGGGCCACACACACCACCACCCACGGAAGTGCAAATCCACACCAGGAACAGCCACCTGTCCCGGTGTCAGACATCCGGTTTGGATGGAACTGGAACTGTTCTTGATCCCACTGAGCGACCGGAAATGCGGCGAGGCGGTGAAGGGCAGGCTGCCCCACAAGGCGCCCCTTTGGCGCGTGGATTAGGTGGATCGGAAGACCACTGAGGCCCCCACAACTCGGGGAGAGCTGTTTTCTGTCTTCCTCGCTTGCTTGCTTACAAGAGTTCAGACAGAGGGCTCGCTCCGGGAAGAGAGCCATATAACCAGAGAGGACTACACCGACCTCCCAGGGGCCTGGAGACACAGATTCCTGTCCTATTGTCTCCGCACAGCAGGGAAAACACTTGTTTGTCCGCCACGCTCTTCCTACCTCCTTGTGAATCGTCCCCCTCCCCTTGGAAGCCCCCACCCCCACCCCTTCTTACCTCACCGGGGCACAAAAGCCTTTGTTTGCCTGACTGCCTGGCCTCCCAGTCTCAGGGGGCCCCCCATACGCATGCAATTAAATTCTCCTGCTACTGTCCAACGTCTACCTACCTGTGAGTCCGGCCAGAGGGGAAACTGCCCTCCGCCAGAGTAGGAGGAGACACTGAGCGGGGGCTTCCTCGGGAGCCGCAGAGACGGTCTGCATTCAGTGACCCCTCGGCCAGTGGCCTGGCCGTGGGAAAGCCCGGGAGGGAGGCCCCCTCGTGGGCAGGAGCCGAGTGCACGCTCTGCCCGCCGCACAGAAGGCGCCCCCGCGGCCCCCGGCCGGTTTCTCCCCCTTCCAAGGTGAACCCGTCCTTCAGCTAACCCTTCCCGTGACAGGAGATGTCTCAGGCCCCCTCTCCCTTCCAACCCCCTCGAACCGACCCTTCAGAACGACACCACCGCCGCACGGTCCCTCCCGCACACACGGCGGAAAGAACTCAACGGTGTGCGGCTGGCAGGGCTCACATCATCCCTGAGCAATGGTGGAAGCGGCCTGAAAAACCTCGACCCTGGGAAGGGCGACTCCGAGAATTCACGGCTCTAGGCATCCGGCTGCGAGTGCCACCACGGCGGACAGCAGTGGGAAGGGCAAGCGAAGCCACCGAAGCCAGCGGCTTTGAAAAATAACGGATGATTTCACATCTGCGTGGTTTATCTGCCTGCTCTACATGGCGGAGGGCACTCAGGGCCCGAGGTTCCTTCTGATGGAAATCAGCCTCCCCCCCACCCCCCCAACGGGCCTCGTTCTACCGTTTGCTCCCATTCTGCCTCCTTGAAACAGACAACGGGGAGAAAGGAAGCTCGTTTCTACGCTGCCTTCATAAACAAGCAAGGACCCCTGCACTCCAGCTGAACTGCAGCGGCGTGTGACTAAGCCAACGGGCGCTCTCTTCTCCTGAGCCGGGCCAGCCGGCTCCCACGGTTTCCCCTCCCCCTCCTTTGAAAGGAAGTAAGGAATAATTTAACTGCCTCTCCTGGGCGGAGTCCACGGCAGGAGGTGTCGGCTACCTGCAGGAAGCAGGTGACAGGGGCAGGTGTGTCTGCCAGAAAGCGCAGCTGGCCTCCAGGACTGCCACCCTCGGCCCTCCCCGCCTGGGGGCCACGGGGCCACTCGGCCTGGGTTCTCCATCCAGGCCTCCGGAAGCTCTCTGAGCCCCAGGGTCTGAGATGCTTCACGACGGAGACCGGTGTGTTTCTCCAGCGGGCCCCGGTGGGGATCACGGGAAATCGCGCCCGCGAAGGGCTACTTAGTGGAACGAGGCTCAGCCGCAGGTCCGGGCTCGTAGGACCTCCCCTCACAGCCGACGTCGGCGTTCCCTCCTCGCTGAGCTTCTCCCCACGGCCCTCGTCACCAACCGACACACCGGACACCCCGGATATCTGTTTTGCTTGCTCCTGGCGGGGAGGAGGGCCCCAGGGCCCCACCCAGGGATAAGCCCCAGCACACAGCACACAGGTGCTCGACAAACACGTATGTGCGGGATCACGGATCACCTTCTCCTGTCTGCTTGCAGCAGAGGCCTTGTCCAGGCCACTGGGTCAAGGTCAGGACCAAAGGCAGAGTCTGAATTCTGTCTGGGAGTGCCCTCTCCTGTGAAATCACCCTGAACTCCGAAGGGAGGCGGCTGAAGGGGAGGTGGGGGGAGGGAGGAGGGTCGGTCTGGGGCCAGAGATAATATAAGACCGTCTCTCCCACTTTGCCGTCCGGCCACGGGCTCCAGGAAAATAGAAACCGTTTTTGTTTTCTTGACACATCTAATGAAAATGTCACATGAAAATGAAAACCAAATGAAAATTAAAGAAAGTCTGCGAGCTATTAAAGTCTTGTTAGAATCCCTCAAAGGTTACATCCCTGTAATGTGCCCCCCCCAGAATCATTCCCTGACAGCCACATTTTTTAAATTAAAAAGCAAAGCTATTAGGGTGGCTTTGTACCTAGCCGAAGAAAACGCATCGGTGCAAATGACCGCGTCAGTCTCACCAGACTGAGGAATGACAACGGCTTTACTTGAAATTCCAAGCACTCTCCTCAGAGGGCTACAGTAATAGATCCCACCCCAGGGTCAGGCTCCTTCCCACGGGGCGCCCCGTGGGAGTGGACAGTCACGTGAGCCCCCCTGGAAGGGGCCCTCTATCCGTCACCTGCCAGAGCGCCCCGGGACGCCAGGCTGAGGCCCCACCCCATCGGGTGCAGGGACGTCCCCACCGAATTCCAGCTCGATGAGCTCAGGAAGTGCCGCCCAGGCTCTCAGCCGCCTGGATTTTAACACTGAAGAGCTCCCGGGGCGTCGGGAGGTTCGGCGCGCTGGATAACGCATTTCCCACCCCCCTGCCCCGGGTCTTCAGTGGGCGAGGCCTCCGCCGGGAGCCGCAGACTTCCTGGCACAGGTTTTGGGCTGGAATCCACTCCCACCTGGAGGCCTGTTCGCCACGTGCAGGTGTGTGCAGCTGCTGGGCTGTGGGACGCAGCCCGGGCCCCATGCTGCCCTGGAGAGTGAGTCCGGGGGTCTCTGCCCCCCACCGCCCACCGCCTAACACACACACACGCCCCAGCCCCCGCTCACATCCCGGCTGCCTCGTCTGTCGCCCTCCCTGCACGCGCTGCTGTTCTTTTAGGAATAACAGCTCCTCCCAGATGCTCACTGGTGGTTAACAATCGGCTCCCTGCCCCTCGACCCTGACCGAAACCTCACACTTCCCAGCTTTCCCCGAGGCGAGCTGGGCTCGCGTGAGAAAAGAACGCCCACTCCCAGCCCACGAGAAATGAATGATCAGTGAGTCACAGCACCGGCCGGCAACGCCGCCGCTCTTGTTAACGGCCCTCGCGATCCCCTGGGCCAGTCTCTGCTCAGAGGGCATTCAAAGCCAAGCCCGGGGCCGCGGCAGGGAGCACAGAGAGGAAGAGGAGGAGGAAGCAGCAGGGGAGAACACAGCGGGAGAGAGAGAGAAGGGAGTGGAAGGAGAAGCGAGTCCGTGGTGTGGTTCTCTGCACATCGGGGGAAGACCAGGACTTTGTCTGGGACAGGGGTCGGGGCGGGGATGGTTTTTTTGGCTGGGTCTGTGCCGCGGGCCACAGGTACACGGGCAAGGACACAGCTCCCTGCATGCCGAGCGATTTCAACAGAATGCAGCAAAGGCCGCGGGAGAGTCAGCTCTCGGCGGTGAGGATGGGGGTGGAGGGGACATGGGGCACCCGGAGAGCTCACAGCGACACTGACTGTGGCCCAGCGAGGGCGGGGTGGGCTTCTAGGGAGAAGACCACCCACCAGTATCACCCTTGGTGCCCAGAAGACAGGCGTTCTCATCAGCCCGGTTTCTGGGTGGAGGTCAGAGAGACCCATGTGCACACGGTGCTGGGACCCTGGGCTGCCTCTAAACCAGGGGCCGGCAAACTACGGCCCCTGGACCACATCCCCCAGGCTGTTTTTGTCAATAAAATTTTATTCAAACACAGCCATTCCCATTTGTTCGCCCTCCTCTATGGCTGCTGTCAGCTACGACGGCAGAGTCAGCAGCTGTGGCTGACGTCATGTGTTCTGCAAGACTTAGAGCATTTCCCGGATGATGCCGTGGGACTGGACTGCTGCTCTGTCCTCCCCAGCTCCCCCTTCCCTCCTCCAGAGCCTGCAGCAACCCAGCCCCCACCCCCCGTCCTCAGTGACGCCAGCGTTCCAGCCCCAGCGTCACCAAAACGCACGAGAGAAAAGGAAGATATTCTGTACGAAGTCTCGTTACTAACGGGAAAACTCAAACCAACCTCCCCACACGCCCAAGAAACGAGAGGACACTCGGCCGCTGTCCCCGGGCCGCACTGGTAACACGGCGATGGGCTGACCGGAACGTGGCCGGGGCGGCCCCCGAGCCCTGGGACCCAGGCCTGTCCCCGGGAACTCACCTTTGACATCGTTAAAGCTCGCCTCCGAAAACCCTTCGCTCAGGTCGATCAGCGTCCCCTCGGACCTGCACCGGGGGAGGCCGCTGGCGTTGGCGGCGCGGATCCGCTGGGCTGCCATCCCGACGCTCTACGGCGCCATCGCCGTCCGCCGGTCGGTCTCGCCTGCAGCGGCCGAGGCCTCTGGCTCAGGCGGCCAGGCCGCCCGCACGGGGTGCCGACCGTGCGACGCGCTTCTCCCTGAAAGCAGAGGAGGAAGAACAATGTCCCTGAGCGTGTGAGACGTGGGCGAAGGGGCAGCTTTGTGGGCAGGGCACCCTCTTCCTTCCAGAGGCCATTCCAGTGAAGGCGGCCCCCGGGGTGGGGAGCAGGCCCCCGCCACACACGGCCCAGGGGAGCGGCCGGCCGCTGTGGGCGCCCTCTGCTCCTGTGCACAGGGGTTCGCGCAGCTGGCCCGGCACCTGGCTCGCCCTTCGCTCCAGCCAGACAGGAGGGCAGCCCAGGGTCTGTGCAGGCTGCACTGCCGGCGCCTCCGCCGACCCAGGCAGTGGCTGGCTCCGCTGTGGGGACGGCCAGGGCTGTGGCCGAGGCCCCGGGGCCGTGCTCGCTCCCTGCCTGCACGCTCCTTACACCCTCCCTGGACCCCAAGCACACACAAACACTCATAAACAGAATAGGCACCCGGGGCCATCTGCACACACGAGGTGTTTCTGTGAGACCCTCCCTTGACTGAGCCGGGGTGCCGTCGCTAAGCGAGCAGGGGGCGTTCCTGTGGGAGGGAACACAGGACTGCCTCCCGGGGCCTCAGCTTGTCGCTGGGGAGGGACGCAAGGTGTTTGGGGCTTCTGGAGACACAGACGAGGCTCCCGCACAGGCACAGGTGGACGCCCCTGGGCTGGCCCGGTGGGCCCCGCCCGAGCACAGCTGGCCCGCAGGGCAACTGCGTGCAGGCAGGTTTCACCCCAATGGAACCGGGTTCCTGCAACCCAGCCTGAGGCTCCTCATTTCTCCACCCTGAGACACCTCGAAATGAATGCAGCTTCTGACCCGTGTGTCACTGTCACCAATTGGGGGGACCTGGAGGCCAGTCTACCACCCCCTTCCCGTAGGGCTGGGGGAGCAGTGAGCAGCTGCAGGCCGGCACCCATGCTGAGGGTGACCTCATGCTAACAGTGTGCTCCTCTAAGCCTCAGTTTCCCCATCTGTAACATGGGTGGTGAGCACCCTGTCCCAACTGGATTTGTGTGAGGAGTTCATGACCCACGAGGTGTGCTTGGAACAAGGAGTGGGCTCAATGGCTGCGGTCCCCAAAGCAGGGGTGTCTGCAGGCCTGGTCCTGGTGCGGGGTTTAGCCACGGCCCTAGAGGCCCTGGGGAGGCTCCTGATGGCCGAGAAAGAGCGAGCTGGCTGCAGTGATGGCCTCAATTTTGAAAGTTACTGAGGCAGCTGAGGGCGGGGAAGGTGGGTGGGCGACAAGGAGAGGAGAGACATCGGGAAGAGCCCCACTGTCCTCAGATTCCCGCACGGACAGCCACGTCCTCAGCAGGTGATGTGGGCAGAGTCCGGGAGGGGCTGGGACACCTGGGGCTGGGAGGGTGCCAGCCAGCGGCTCGCCGGGGCACCGACAGGACACTGAGACGGCTCCCCAGGGAGCACCTGGAGGGGCCGGGAGTCGGCAAGATGAAGGGAGGGAAAGGCGTCAGAGGGACGAGATCCTTGGCCTCCGCCTCCCCTGGGTGCGGGCAGGATGAACCACAGGCCCCCGGAGTTTTTGGAGGCTGACCACCGTTCCTGTTCATTGTCCATGGGGGAACACGGTTATGGCCCAGGGCCAGTGGGGAGGCAGGAAGGGTCAGCGGTTGTGGGAGCTCTGCTGTCCTCGTGAAGACACAACAGTGCCCTCGCCGAGGCTGCTGGCCAAGGGCCAGGTGTGCCACTAACTGCACTGCCCTCGCCGCTTACCCGCCAGAGCGGGGCCAAGGCAGCGAGTCCCATCCCCGGCGACCAGGAGCGGCACCACCGAGCTGGGCGGAGCGACCACGCAGCCAGCCGTGCACCCAGTCATCCGAGAGGGGGTTGCTTTGTCCCCCGTGGGAAGTCTGGAGTGGCGGCTCTGTCTCCGGTGGCCGTGGGAGACAGGCCGTAAACGAAGTGCCGGCGCCCACCCGCCCCTTCTCGGTGAGCGCAGGGCGCCGTCGCCACTTGGAGATGTTATTTTACAGCAAGGAGGAGGGCAGCCGGCCCCGCTGGACCAAGTTCGGCCGGTCCCTTCCACCTGGCACCTCCTAGAGCAGATGCCGGCAAGTGAGCGTTCGGTGGGGGGGAGCCCCGCACCTCCCCCAACGCCGGAGCCAGGTGTGGAGGGTGCCCGGAGTCCCCTGCCCCGCCGAGAGGGCAGCAGGCGCTACCATGTTCTCCCGGGGTCTCTCCAAAGGTGCAGGGGTCAGCAGGCCTTTGTGGGAGGCTGTCCTTTGCCCTCAAAGGGCCACGCCCCCCGCCCCCGCCCCGCAGCTGCTCTCAGACGCGCCCTGGGCAACCTTTCCGGTTTGTTGTTAAGCTCCACCCACAAGCTCCGCCCCCAGCAGGTCCAGGATCACGCTCGGGCTCCGCCTCTCCGGCGGGCCCCACTCCAGCCCCTGCTGCCAGAACACGTGCCCCTGTGTCCCCGGAAAACCTCTCCCGCCTTCCTCTGCTCCGCCCTGCGCACGGCCCTGCACGGCCCTGCACACCCGAGCGACTCGCCGGCCCGCCGGCCGGCCGCACACCCGCACGCAGTCACCGCCCCCCACCCCCAGCCTCAAATTCAAGCCTCGGGAGCTCACCTACCGCACCCTTCGAATCGGTCCTCGCTTTATTACAGAAGTAATGTCCGGGGAAATGACTGGGCGCTGTAGTTTACAAAACACTACACTATTGCTACAGACACACTTATGTGTACTGACCAGTATGCAACTACATCAGTGTACTTCCTGTATATTGTTTCCCCGATTTATTTATGGTTTTCCTATTTCATTTATTATTATCTATCATTTGTATTATCTTCATTTATTATTTTATTTATCTTTATCACTTCCCTATTTCTGCACACGGTCTACATGTCTGCAGTAAAACATTACAAGAATTAAGCGCTATAAGCACGCGTTTGTCACCCGCCTTCCCAGACACGTGCCGGGAGTGTGAGGGTGTGTCTCCCCGTGAATGGAAAGCCTGTTAGGAGCCTTAAACTCAGACGCCCAGGCACTCTGACCCTCCCAGCACACGTGGGCACGGCCGGGTTCCTGCCCAGTTGGCGAGTGGCCCCTGAACCCAGAAGTCAGATCGCCGAGGGCTCCCCTTCAGGACTGATGGGTGTTGAACCTTCCCGGTCCAAACCCGACTCCGGGGTTTGCCCCACCCCTCCCCCCACACCCTGCCTTTGCCACCTCAGTCAATGCCGATTGGCTCATTCCACTGCCAAAAGGCCCGAGATCGCCCCTCCCCCTCCCTGTGGGGCCCGTCCCCCCAGCCCAGACACCTCCACGCCACTGCCTGCTCCCCCGCCCCCCCCTCGCCCCACTGTAGGCCACGCTGCAGTGACAGGATGTTCGGACAAGTCAGGACTCTGTTCCGGACCCTCCACAGCCTCCTGAGTGCTCAGCGCGCTCACGGTGCTGCGCCCGTCCCCGCGGGCCTCTCCCTGCTGCCCCAGGGCCATCGCACGTGCTGTCCCACAGCCAGGAGGCCACCACCGAGTCCTGGGACAGGTCCCTCCTGCACCCACGTCTCTGCTCCAGCGTCACCAAATGAGCAGGGGACAGGCGCCCGCAGCAGCGGCACCCCTCCCCCTACCCCAGACACCTCAAGCATTCGCTGCTTCTCCCCCGAGTTCTCCGGGAGACCGAGCTGTGCGAGGGGGCGGCGCCCAGCCTGCCCCTGCGCCCTGTGCTGTGTGGGAGCCGTGCAGAGCAGGCTCTCAGACGCAAAGGAATGAATGAACTCTGTTCACTCATTTGTACTATGACCGAGTCCTTCCGTTTTTACAGCCCATCATGATTTCCCACAGCCATCCATCCAGTGTGTGTGTGTGTGTGTGTGTGTGTGTGCACCCGTGCACACGGACATGGAAGAGAGAAGCGTGACAGCCCAACGAGCTGTGTCTCTGCTGAGAAATCACTCTGGGCCTGGCGGGATCAGGGGCGCCACCTGCGTGGAGGAGGGTGGGAGACAAGCCCCGTGGAGGCTGAGTGAATCAACTGCCCAGTGCGCCTGACTTGAGGGTTCTGGTCTTTCCTTTCGGGTCACTCGGGGGACGCTGAGCACCCGGGGCGGCTCCTCTGTTGTGCAGAGACCTGCGTGGCGCGTGCCGCAGGGCACGTCTCTGGCACCGTTTCTGCACCTGCCCTGCCCTGCTCAGGACACGGAGCCACCCCGGAAGCCGGCTGGGACGCACCTGTCTGGGGTCAGATCCCCAACAGCTCACGGGGGCGGAGGCAGGGGCGGCTGGCCGCAGGCTGACGTGTGCCTTTTGCAGACGACATGCCAGACACCTGAGTGGGTGGAGGAGGAGAGTGCTGCTGCGTGGGGAAGGGCGGGACCCTTAGCCCAGGGAGAGGGATGCAGGCAACGGAGGTCACGGGGTGGTTCCTGGGGAGAAGCCCGAGGAGGAAGAGCTGACCCCTCCAGGCCCTGGGCCCACGGCGCACCCGCAGAAGCCGAGGTGCGAGGCACTGCATTGGCTAGGGAACACGTCCACGCCCGCTGCCCCGCTCCGAAGACCCTGCTGGCCGCTGAGGAGACTAGCTCTGGCTTCTGTAAGATTCCGGGCGATCTTACCGTGGAGGAGCTCTGTGCTGTGGAGCTACCTAGGGTCAGGCAAGATCTCTTCAAACTCTGTAGTTACTACGCCCAGTTATTTCCCACCTTGACCCACGAAACAGTCACATCGGACAGAAAGGAAAAGCTGACGTGTTCGAGACCCTTCGGGGCGCCTGAGTCCTCGGGAGAGGGCAGCGGGGGTCCCTGTGCCACCAGACACGGACCCCAGCGGCCCCTCCCCCCCAAGGCCACGAACACCGCCAGGCTCTCAGGTGTCCACAGGAGTTTTCAGGATGCTCCTGCTGAAACGACCTTCCAAAAAGCAGGCGAGTCTGGAGACCCAGCTACAGAGACCCACAGTCAGCCCTCAAGCGGCGCCCCAACCACCCCGGCCGAGTGTGACCGGGTGACCAAGGGGCCTCTGCAGGCGGTGACCGAGCGGCAGG